TGAAGGTCCTAACAAATGAGGAACATTAATGAATGTTCACTGCAAATGCTTTGGAAAATAATCTGTTTTACTTTTTTATCCCTATTTCTTTTTCTTCTTATCATTATTATTACTATTAGTAGTAGCAGCCTAAGCATAGTAGTATCAGTAGTAGTACTACTACAAAAAGTTAATTTTACAACATACATCCTGGTACATTGTGCATGCAACCCAAAACACATGTGCATCTCTGGAGAAAAAAAAAGTATATCAAAATTACCTTGATGGCAGATTCAGCACCCAGGCCTATGTCTATACTCATAGGGGAGACCAAGTTCTTTTCATCCTTTAGTTCTATTTTGATCAGCTGCAGGGGTGTGAGGTCCTGGAGGAGCTCTCGTTGAACAAACCGCCTCAGTAAACTCTTAAAATGGCAAAACAAGCAGTTAGTAATCAAGCTATTTACATACAGATTCATCAAATGCAATCAATTCTATAAAATATTTACAGTGATCATTACCATCAGCAGCTCAGTCAAATCTTTGACCAAGAAGGGCAACACTGGCTCATCGGTTTGGAACTTTGTCAAGAAGGGGTTGAAAGTCCTTGCAATTGCCAGAAAGAACTGGAGTTTTGCAATAATGAAAGGATCTTTTTGTGCTGTTACTATGGTGTCATATGAAGCAGTGCAAGAGACTGGGACCCTCTTTTTCTCTGCAGCATCCACATATGTCTTAATCACTGGCCAAACTTCAACTGCTCTCTCTGCCACAGGAACGTTTTCAACCCATCTATGGCCACAAAATGGTAAGGGAAAGCAGGAGGACCCTGTCAGGCTAGTGAAGTCTTCCCTCCTGGCAGGAACATTATGAAAAAGGAAGTGCATGGCTCGCAGAAGTTTTTCCAACTGCCACATAGTAAAGCCTGCCTTTAAAGCATTGTGGAGGGTGTGAAGTCCACAGCTTCCAACAGTGACAACCTGAGCACCTCCGTAGAGCTCTGCATGCTCTTTCTGGAGAAGATCCACCAACTTGAAATTCACACTGGGGCCATCCATGCCAACTGATAGTAGTTCCCTCATATTCAGTTGTGTAACACATTCCTGTGAATCAACAAAGGAGAAAGTCTGTTAAAAATAATCATTCAGATACAGTAAAATAGATCTCAACATTCACAAAGCTTGGCACTTGGGGCTAAGGAGAAGCATTACTGCATACACATTTGATTTCAAGCATTAGTTGGTATTTTAGCAATGAAATTATTTTGTGTTTTTTCCAACAGCAAAACTTGAGCCAAATATTACATTTCTATAACTATAAGGTTATTGAACTTAGCAAAACACTAAAAACGTTTTTGTTTTTGTACTTTGGAGCTATACCCCACAGATAAAAAAAACCAGATAGGCCTACAGCTTTCATTCAAGTGACTGCAGGCATTTGGCCAATTTAATCCTTTTGTGTAGCTAACAATAAGTTTGCCAAACATTGTCCTATAACACATAAAATCTTTGTGAATAAATAATTCTTGAAATGAGTGACCACAGGACACCGCCTAGGTAGGCCTATATAGCATAAAGAATATTAACTTACCTTGATGTGATGCAACAAATC